GGGCGGCTCCTTGGTGGTGATGCTGGGTTTAGGGCCTTGTGGACTGTTTTTCTGGAACACGGTGAACAGCTTCCGCTAGGTCCTCTATCTAGTTTCCTCGAACAGAGAGGTCTCTCCGAGGCTGCCCCACATCCCGGGGACAGGTGGGCCTTGGGGAGGGCCAGGAATTCTGCTCCAATTTATCAGAGCTCAGAGAGAGTCTGGTTAGCATTTGGCCCTTGCTGCCATTGTTGTTTCGCTGGTTAGTATCTATGCAGGTAAACATTCTAATGGACCATGTTAGGTTCATTTGACTCTCTTTTCTGCCCTATTGGATTACACACAGTGTTCCTGGATGCACCAGGAAATTGCACCTGAGACAGGTCATTGAATTGGAGGTAATTGAATTAGATGGATGGGCAGCGTGGGCTCAGAAGAACAAGATGGTGAGAATGGGTCTCATATTCCAACCCAGGGTCATTTACTCTGTAGGTTAAATATTCTCTGGCACCTGAGAGGTGTTCACTGAGTGCTAGTGGAATGAATCAGTGAGTACGTGCATGCATGCATGAATGACCCCTTTACAACTCTGTCACTTTGTTTTTCAAATCATGAGGGCAGGGACCTATATTCTGATTTTTTTATTCTATTTCTCTTTGCCCTAGCTGAATCCTGGACTTGAAATAGGACCTCAGCAAATATACTGTACAATTAAACTGAGTGATACACAGAGGGGGTGACACCATTATCTATAATTCACCTGTCAGATACCCTGAGGATCCTGCTAATGTCCTGACTACTCTATGCCAGAGAAGACCAAACAGAAAATGAAAAGGCCTTAGCAATTGAACTTCACCTTTCAGTGAAGTCACCTGTATAGGTGACTTTAGCCAGTCACTTTGTTCTCACCTTTGGTTTTGTTATCCCCAAAAGGAAGGACTGGGACTAGATGGCCTCATCCTAGAGGCCTGTCTTGGCCCTAACCACAGCCCTCAGAGTTAGAGCTGGGACCCTTTTCCCTGCTATGGATTAACTGTTTGATTGGCAAAGGCATGTGACTCCTCCTAGTCCCTACAATCTGTCAGGGCTGCCTGCATACCCCTCAGGCGTGAGATGGCTAAGAGGGCATCTCAGGGTCAAGGGCAATGGAAGGATGTGGGCTTTCATCAGGGAGTCCTGGGCTGAATCCCCGAGTGTTAGCTGCAGAACTCAAGCCTCTCCAAACCTCAACTCCATTACTTCCTCTAAAACGGGGATGATCATTGTACCCACCTCACCGATCGTGATAAGGATGAAAGATACCATGTTGATAAGACACCAGCCCAGTGACTGATGTTAATGCTATAATTTCGTTATTATGTCACACAGACTCTACAAACTATTTCACCTTGCTCAGCCTCGTCTAGATTGGGCTTCCCTTCCTCTCTATTTACCTGCTTGTCTGCCTGTAATAAGCATTCTGCTTCACTTTCCAGAGTCAGTACTTTGAACAGTCAAGCCGTGCCATTAGCGATAGTGCATTGCTCTTACCCACCACGCTCAGGTTTTCATCCAGAATCCTGCTATTGTGCAGAAGATAGTTTGGGTAGGTTGGGATGGGTGGGAGATATGTCTCTCAAACAATCTCATTCTTGGGAATAACTTAGTATTTTTCCTAAGAGTTGAATGCAGACAGACTTTCTGATTCAGCAGGCACAAACAGACTTCTCTCTGAGGGATTACACCTTGAGCCTGCTTTCTCTGGGAATCAGTTTATGCGGAACCACCAGAACTATCCTCATTTCTGAAATATTTCCCCCACCACAGATGCCTAGCCCAGGGGACATTAGGTGCTCTGTGTTTTAGGCCGAGGGAGATCTTGGCCTAGCAGACATTTCATGCTTTGGAGGACTTCCAAAGAGGTAGAAGATTTGATCCCTTCCCCCAAGGAGCAAAGAATTTGGCTGGGGAAACAGAGAAAGATGTATTTAAAATGCATTTTTTTAAAAAATGTTTATTTGTTTTTGAGAAAGACAGAGACAGAGTGTGAGCGGGGGAAGGGCAGAGAACACAGAATCCAAAGCAGGTTCTAGGCTCTGAGCTGCCAGCACAGAGCCCGATGCGGGACTCGAACTCACAAACTGTGAGGTCATGAGCTGTGCTGAATTCAGACGCTTAACCGACTGAGCCACCCAGGTGCCCTAAAATACACTTTTAAAATACAAAATCAAACTCCTGGGGCACCTGGGTGGCTCAGTTGGTTAAACATCCAACTCCTGCTCAGGTCACAGTCTCATTTTGTGAGTTTGAGCCCACATCGGACTCTCTGCTGTTAGCACAGAGCCTGCTTCAAATCCTCTGCCCCTCTCTCTTCCTGCCTCTCCCCTGCTCACGCTATCCCTTTCTCTCAAAAATAAAGAGACATTAAAAAAAAATCAAACTTCTATTTCTAGATTTAAAGATGGTAAATACTGAGTGAGTGTCCAAGGACTACATCATAGAGGAGATAGGAGCTGAGTTGGACCTGAGTTGGAATAAGCAAACGGGAGTGTCAGAGGGCTTCAGAGTCCCACGAGTAATCGAGGTATAGGCCTGCAAGTGTACAGCCTGCGAATGCCAGGGGAAGACAAAGGAGAGAAGAGGAAGGGGCTCTTCTGCTGACTGTGCTGGGGGGCTGTGGGATCCAACGTGTGTATGTTGTGAACAGGTGGGCACAGAGCTTGGGTTTGAGCTTATATAACAGGGTGGGTAGGTGGGGCATGTGGGGCCTGGAATATGGGAGGGTTGGCAGGAAATCAGAATTTTAGGAAGATCGGTGAGGCAGTGGTGTGTGGGGTTGGCTGAGAGGCAGAGAATGGAAGTGAGTCTTCTCTGGCATTCCTGGAGGCAGGAGGAGGCAAGAGGGAAGGACAGGGCCAGCCCCCCAGGGTGAAGGGCCAGGCCTGCGGTGAAGGCGGTACCTGTAAGGCTGGAGAGCCTTTTCTGCCATGGATGGACTGTGCAATTGGCAAAGGCAGGCAGCCCTGCTGTGGGGAGGGGATCAGGGTTTCACTGTAGAATACTGCGTCAGCTTCAGTAACGTGTGTATGTATCAGTGCCTTGTGGCTGCTTTAACAAATCACCACAAACTTGCTGGCTTGAGACCGGTATTTCTTCTCTGGAGGCGAGAGACCTGAAATCAAGGTGACACAATGTCATGCTCCTTCTGGAAGCTTTCGGGGAAGACTGGTTCTTTGCCTCTTCCAGCTTCGGCCAGTTGTTGGCTTCCTTGGCTTGTGGCCGCAGCACTCTGACGTCTGCTTCAGTCTTTCCATCAAGTGTTCTTGTGGGCGTGTGTGTCTCCTCCTGCGTCTTTCAGAAGGATACTTGTCAGTGGATTCAGGCCAGCCTAGGTAATCTAGAACAGTCTTGTCTCAAGACCCGTAACTTCATTGCATCTGCAAAGCCTCTTTTTCCTCATAAGGTGACATTGCCATGTTCCAGGGAGTAGGGCACAGACACGTCTGTTGGGGCCGCCATTCAGTCCACTACAGCCTGCTCTCTGAGGAGGGAGCAGGAAGGAAGGAGGCAGAGTACCCCCGGACCGAGAGGAAACTGCGAGGCATGGGTGGGTCTTCTGGCAGACTGGCACCACACGCTTCATGGATGGCCTGTCACATGGCAACTCTTTCTTTTCTTAATGTTTATTTATCGTTGAGGGAACGAGAGACAGTGTGTAAATGGGGGAGGGGCAGAGAGAGAGATTGGGAGACACAGAATCTGAAGCAGTCTCCAGGCTTTGAGCTGTCAGCACAGAGTCCGGTGCGGGGCTCGAACTCATGGACTGTGAGATCATGACCTGAGCCGAAGTCGGACACTTAACCGACTGAGCCACCCAGGTGCCCCCGTGACAACTCTTACATAAGAAACTCAACCTGAATATGCACCGTGTGCCAAGCACAGATCTCAGCACTCGTGCTGATAGAATGATTATAATAATCTGTAATTATCCATATTACTTCCTTTCAGCTTCACAGCAAAGGTAGAAGTGAGGCCTTACCGCCCTGGCCTACGGATAAGGAGACGGGGGGGCAAAGGTGCTCAGGAGCCGCTGGGCTCCTGCTCTGAGCCAGCCCCTCCCTCCGACAGAGCTCTTCCACTGCCCTTGTCTACACTTGCTGACTTTATTTGATTGTCCTCACCTCTCACTCTCTCTGGCAGCCATTCATCTTTAACACAAACAAATGTTCTTGGTGGCGGGGTCTTGACATGCATGGGGTGGGTGGCCGAGGAAGCTACGGCAAGGAGCTGCTTTACTCTCGTGCAGGAGAGCTGAGACCCATCTGTCAGCTAAAGCCCACGTTAAGTTGGCAGCAGAGCAAAGAGGTCAAGCTCACGGATTTCCGAGCCGGGCTGTGCTTCTTACCTGCGGTGTGGCTCTGCCCAAGTCACTTCTGCTCTCCGTGCCTCAGGTCCTCATCTGTAAAATGGGGACCACAATACCCCTGACTTCTTGGGTTTTTCAAAAATGATGATTAAATGCATGCCAGTGCAGGTATATAAACATATATTAAGTGCGAAGTTCTGGGAATGATTATTAGTGCATAGTAAGTAGGTGCTATGAGCTGTATACCTAAACAAAACCACAGAATAGTGCCGAAACGCATGTATTAGGTCCCCATGATGCCAGCATCTGTGGCTGCCAGGGCAGGTGCTATGTGATGTGGGTTCCTCTGGAGGGATGAGGAGCCCTTGGAAACGCTGAAGCAGGTGGCGCTGAGCCTTCACTGTTGGGAGGGGGTCCCTCTCAAAGAGCGGCCCATCCCAGGTCCTATCCAGAAGTGCTTGCTTATAAGGAGACCAAGGAGAAGGGAGGGCGGCCTCAAAGGCAGCCTCACGCTCCAGACCTGAGGGCATTCCAGACCTGGGTGCCATGGTGGGCACCAGGGTGCCGTCACAGGAGGGTGCAGTCACCCCAGCCCTTTCTCGTAGCCCTGGGCTTGAATGGGACCTTGAGGTTGTTACCACAGAGCACGCTCACAGCCTGGTGTTCTTCTTCACAGGCCGATGCGGCTACCAGCTTTCTGAGGGCAGCAAGATCAGGTAACTTGGACAAAGCTCTGGATCACCTGCGGAATGGCGTAGACATTAACACCTGTAACCAGGTAAGTGGGATGGGGACAGGCGTGTTGGTCTCTGGAGAGAGGCTCTTGTCTGGTGCCGTTGCCTGACAGCTGTAAGCTGCCTCTATTAACCTTTTCCCAGCGGCCTGAAAATTCCCTAAGGGCTTCGCCTGCTGAAGGCCCTGACCTTGGTGTTCACATCCCAGATGCAGTCCAGGGCCCCGCAGAGAAGGACCTGAGGCCTGAACAGTGTGGGCCGGGCCCAGGCTCCATCCCCTGCTGCCTCTTCCCTCAGAAGTTGCCTTGATCCCTGCTGTGGTCTTCGAATAGGTGGCCTTTGAAAAGGGGCAGGAGGAAGGGCCTTTGAAGGATGTTGTCAGTGGTGACATTCAATCTCCTTTGTCCACGAGCGGCCTTTGTGGGTTCTCTCTGAGCTGAGAAGGAAATAGTGATGACGGCTCCCTTGCTCTGTCAGGTGTTGATAAAAGCGAGTCTGGCTCGGGCTGAGCCAGCATGGCTTGAGTGCATTCTCTGGAGGCTTAGCGACAGGTTTGGTTTCAGGAGGGGGGAAGTAAGGAAACTTAATGTGTTTGGGACAGATTGAAGGCCAAGGAATCCGGTTTGGGGCCAAAGATCTAGGAACTGGCTGAACAGAGAGCAAAGCGTGGTCTAGAAAGAGAACAGGGGTACAGCTTGGGTGTGTGGGTCTGGTTTGGCCAGCCGATAAAGTCGTTGGGGTACATGTGCTAATTCAATTTCTAATGTAGAATAAATTTACCAGTGATCATTTTTTATACCGTTTTAACCATTAAGTTGTTTTTAATTGTGCTGAAATACACATAACATAGAACTGACCATCTTACCCATTTAAAAATTTTTTTTGGGGGGGGGCACCTGGGTGGCTTAGTCGGTTAAGCGTCCGACTTTCGCTTAGGTCATGATCTTGCATTCGTGGGTTCGGGCCCCGCGTCGGGCTCTGTGCTGACTGCCGGCTCAGAGCCTGGAGCCTGTTTCAGAGTCTGTGACTCCCTCTCTCTCTGACCCTCCCCTGCTCACGCTGTCTCTCTCTCTCTTTCCTAGAAATAAATAAAACATTAAAATATATATATATAAAAAAATTTTTTTAACGTTTATTCTTGAGAGAGACAGAGCATGAGTGGGGGAGGGGCAGAGCAAAAGAGAGACACAGAATCTGAAGCAGGCTCCAGGCTCTGAACTGTCAGCACAGAGCCCAGTGCCGCTTGTGACCTGAGCCAAACTCGGATACTTAAAGGACTGAGCCACCCGGGTGCCCCCATCTTAACCATTTTCAAGTGTACAGTTCGGTGGGACTGAGTGCATTCACATTGTGGTACGACAACAACCACCATCTGTCTCCAGAGCTCTCTTCATCTTGCAGAACGGAACCTCTGCCTCTGTTACAGTAACTTCCCATCCCTGCGTTCCCCAGACCCTCGCACCCAAGACTCTGCCTTCTGTGTCTGAATTTGATTGCTCTAGAGCCCCTGTGGAAGTGGAATCATAACCGTATTTGTCCTTTTGTGAGTGGCTTATTTGGTTTAGTGTAGCATCTCTAAGGCTCACCCGTGTCGAGGTGGTCTAGATGACTTTTACAAGCCAGCAGGGGCCAATTCCTGGAAGGCAGGTTAACTCTCCCAGGCTGCTTGCCCCTCTCCCCCTGCCTTCTCAGCCTCTCTTCCATGTCCCCTCCACCCTGCTTAAAATGCAATGTGCCGCTTTGCTCTTTCTCTCGGGGCAAGACCCCATCTGGATTCAGTTTGTCCTCTGTGGTGTACATCCATTAGCTACAAGATCAGACAAGATGGAGCAGGTAGTGTGTGATGGGAAATAAAAGTAGATGTGAGATGGCATGTCTGGGTGGCTCGGTCAGTTGAGCAGCCAACTTTGACTCAGGTCATTACCTCACAGTTCGTGAGTTCAAACCCTGCATTGGGCTCTCTGCTGTCAGCGCAGAGCCCACTTCGGATCCTCTATCCCCCCACCCCATCGCCCCTTCCCAGCTGGTTCTCTCTCTACCTCAAAATAAATAAACTTTTAAAAAAAGGTAGATATGATTTGAAGCTCATGGCAGTGAACTTCAGAGGGGAAACAAGCATGAGCCCTGACTTGAGTCTGTGGACAGGGTAGTCTGTGCCCTCCCCCTTTTCTCCTGTCCCTGCACCAGAGTGTACTAGCACATGCCGAGGACAACAGCGGTGACTCGAACCAAACACGCAGAGCCCAGGCTTGGCCTCTGGATAACAGACTGAACCTGCGAACCCATTTCTTTCAAGGGAAGAGGATGTAGGTGCAAAAGTATGGGGGCAGGAAGCACGTCCTGGGATCCGAGTGGCTCAAGAGGGGGGCCCCCTGTTTCAACACCGCACCCCCGAAACAGCTGTAGCTGTGTTGTCCCAGCCCCCCCACGCTGCCCCCACGGCCGAGGGGATCGCTGCCCCGCCCCCCCGCCCACCCAGAAAGTTCTGAGGCTGCCTCTGTTCCGGCTGCGGCAGCGGAAACACAGAGCAGGGTTCCTCCGCAGTGCAGTCCCGCCCGAGGAGCACCAGACCTTCGGAGGCCCTCCAAGGGTTAAGACGCCAGCTCTCAGAAGAATCTAGTTAGCAGAAACGGGGACAACTGGATGCTCATCAGCCTTGAGCCAGGGCTCATTTTCGGTGTGAAATTGGAAGATTTTGATGACACCCAGGAAATGGCTCTGTCCTGATTGGTCACCTGCTGGTGAGGCCCTGGGCGCAGCTGGCCTGGGCCTCTGCCGCCTCTCCTCAGGGCACCTCCTGGGCTCATCTCGGGCTCGGAGAGCAGCAGGCCCCCGGGCAGTATTGCACTTTGCAGACACTCTTTCCTAGGGGCTCCACGCCAGTGACAGGTAGCGCTTAGCCCTGCGAGGACTGGAGGGAAGGTCCAGTCTCCGACTGGTGTCTGTGGTCGTGGCCAGCCTCCCTGTTTCAAAGAGGCACCGGCAGCAGGCATGGAAGTGAATGTCAGAGGGGCGAAGAGGGAAGGATTCGTGGTCCTGCAAAGCCCCTCCTGGCTGGCTTATCCCCAGGGCTCCTGACCTCGCGGCCCACATCCTGGGCCTGGGAGGCATTTGTCTCCCACTCTGTGGCTGCCGCAGAGGCAGGAGCCGTGGACCGCGGTGCCTGGGGAGCACCCGTGCTGCCAGCCTCGTCCTGGCGTTCGCGGGCGGTTCGTCTTGTGCTCCTGAGTAAAGGACGGGGGGCGGGGAAGGACAACAGTGGCCGAACTTCCGCCCTCGTTATACCCGTTAGTGCAGCCATGCGGACGGCGCCAGTGCTTTATGATGGTCACAGAGACAGCATGGTGACGGGACTGGAGCTTTCTTCTCCTCCCAACAGGCCTTCATTGTTTTGAGATGATAAAAACAGGCTCTTGTCCTGGGGTCATGGCTTGACGATGTCTTTTTGCTGGAATCTTTTGGACCGGTGGACTGTGACAGCAGTAGGATGGCAAATGCTGATCCTTACATAAGTAACACACTTTCAAACAGTATGTTTTGGGGAAAGAAGAAGTACCATCGCCATAATAGGAAGTAATTACGCTAAGTAGTGAAAAAAGAGGAACCGGCTTATGTAAGAGACATCTGAGTATTCAGGGCAGTTTCCTTAATGCATGGATTACGTCCCCTAATTTTTATCATCATCGTCATCATTATATTTCTAGCAAAGAACAAATTCGCACGTAAGGGCACATGTATGTGCATGCATGCACTGGTATCTTGATATGAAGGCCTGATTCACTTATCCAAGCATTTAGACCCATGTGGCCAGTGTCTTTCTGTACCTCTCCACATGTGTATGGAAGTGCCAGGCATTAGGGATTTAATAGTACAAAAAAAAAGGACTAGTCTTTATTTTCTCTGAACTGTAGTGTACTGGTAGTGAGATCTATTAATCAAACAATCACATAAATAGACAAACTGCAGTGTGTTTAACACTGTGGAGGAAGGGCATAGGATTTCTTGGGAATATATGAGACTTGACCTAAGTTGGAGATCAGAGAAGACTACCATGAGGAAGAGACAGTTGAGCTAAGAGATAAGTAGAAGTTAATGATGTGAAGGACTGTAGTGCTCCTTCATGGAGAACAGCCTGTGTGAAGTCCCTGAGGCAGGAAAAAGCACAGGAAGTTTAAGGAAGCCCAGAGCAGCTGCAGTGCAGAGGCTGAATGATCCAGATGAGGCTGGAGAGGTGACGTGGGGATAGGTGCTGGGCCTTACAGGCAGGGACGATAGTCACAACAGCCAACAACTGCGAGAGTGAGCCCCAGGGCCAGAGCAGTATGTGTGCATGCACATGTGCACACATTGTGTGTGTGTGTGTGTGTGTGTGTGTGTGTGTGTGAGGGTGTGTTTGTCTGCTGTGCCGTGCTATAGTTGCTGATTGAGGGGGAGAATCTGGGGAAAGGAACAGAGGGGCCAGAGCAGCAGCGGTGGGGGCTACTTAAGAGCTTGAGGCAATGGCTAGTGGAGGTATTGCAGCTAGTTGAGAGGAATGGAGGTGTTTCAGCTTTTCAACAGCCCGGACAGTTGTGTCTGCGTGTCCCGGTAGAATGTCCATGCTACTTTCAGGATTCTGATCTTTACCCCAAGAGCAGAGGGAAATGAGCCACGATGCAAGCACAGGGGTGACAGGATCAGAGCTGTGCTTTGAAGGATCACACTGGCTACTGTGCAGAAGACAGATGGAAGGGCCCAGGGGTGGGATGGGGAGGCTGGTCATGAGACTGTCACACCCGTCCGGGAGACCAATGTCAGTAAAGGTCCGGGCTGAGGAGACAGAACAAAGTGAGCAGGCCTGGGTGGTGAACAGCATGGCCAAAAGCTGGGAAGGAGACGTGGAGAATGACCCTCGGACGTCTGCCTTGTGCAGGGGCTGGAGCGCAGCCCAGCTCACGCAGACCAGGAATGCCGGGGTGGCCTCAGCGTGGGGAAGCAGGGTGAGGACCCAAGGTCAGAGCTAGGCGGACATCCTGCTGAGGAGTCTTTAAGGAATCTAAGTGAA